TCACAATGCCAGCCATGATGATCTGAGTCCTGTTTGTAGCTTTGACGGCATTGCGGAAGTCTTCGTTGTCCCAGGCATCAACTTCACCCTGACGCTTGATAAAGGTTGCGTTTGGATACATGTCCGTAATTTCTTTCGGCAATGGGCCATTGGGTCCTGTGATATCTTTTAGTCCTGAATGTTGGTATGTAAAGAAGATTATCCTACCTTGTTCTGCAGAAGTCGTCAAGATAACTGGCAAATCAAACAATTTTCCAATGGCGGCGTGTCCAATGATGCTCTCCTTGTACGTGACTGGATCAAAGTCTCTAACAGCATTGTAAAGACCGACTTGTAAATCAACGACAAGGAGGACCTTTGAATGTGTTAGTTTGAAGGATCACCATAAACAGAGATTTTGAGAGATTGAACATACAGCCTTGTCTTTGTCAAGTCTCTCGTAAGGAACCACTATTTTTACAAAACAATAGATGTCAGTACTAAACAGAATTTGAAGTTCAAGTACGACTTACAGTTTCCCATGGCGGTTGTAGAAATCGATGCGATTGCTACCGTGATGATAGAGAAGAGCTTCATTGATGAGTCGAGATGGCGATTAGCAAGCTGGGTTTAAAGGTAACTGAGTAAATGAATTGGATTGTTAAGGTTGGTTGTGAGTGCAGAAACGATATCTTTTGCTTGAATTCTTCATGGTATATATACTACAACCCCCTTGACATTGAACTTGGTTCTCTATAAGCCAAACAAAGAAGACAGCTCTCGAAGTCTCTCGTCAGAAATTTCTTCATCATTACGGAGCAATTTGTCAAACCACTAGTTACCATTGCCTAGAACAAAAAATCTTTGATTTGCATATATCCTTGAGTTCTTTGCCGCAGTAAGCAAATCCATCGAGGCTATCCAAGTGGCGTTACTAATGAAAGCTACGACGTATTACCAGGGTCAGCTCACTGGGCGTATAGAGTTGACAGGGGGGTCCAACCTTTGTAATTTTACAGTCAGCTCTGCCACTACGGCTGGCCCAGCGCCCTATAAGGCCATGCTGCACTCTGTAAGAAATTTTCCACACGTTCCACCAAGAATGAAACGCTCCCCACACTTATGCTATGTTGACAAGTAGCTGACAGTGAAGAACCACTGGCTTGATGGATGATGCGAGCCGTTGATAGGCTGTAGATGATTCGCATATGCGCTTCATTATAAAGAACAATGTCATAATCATCTCCACTTGCAGTTCAGTTACTTCAGGCCACAACGTAGTGGCATATGCTGCTCACGGACTTGCCGCTTGAGAGGCCTATGCGAAGAGAATTTTTTTTTTTTGTTCAACGCTCCTTTATCTCACTGTTTGTATTGTCAATGGAATATCGCATCGCGCATAGCGAATAAATTGTGAATAGACTGGAGAGGCTTTCGATCTCAATTGCACATTTGGAGTCATTTTGCCTCGCATTGAGCCTGCCATCAAAACTAATATCACATAATTGATCCCACATAATTTTGCAAACTAGAGGTATTGTACGCCTTTTGATCATTCTCAGAATTATTTTTAGCATGATTTGTTCAAGAGATGAAGAACCGCTACTGAGGCTTAACGTACGGCCTGGCCGACAAGGGAAATCCAGCAAAGATGACCATGGCATTCCCAAGTGGGATTTTTAGGAAACTTCGATGCCATGATATGTCGACAATTCAACTTGCTATTGTGCATGTCTCTTTTTTTACTGTTTGTTTGTCGCAGTAAAAGATTTCTTATTGCGCCTGCGCCAGAGTCACGCCTTCTGCTAAAAGGAAGAACACGCCTCCACATATATAGTGAGTTTCAACTTGCAAGCTTGTATCGCATGTTGAGTTATGTGCCCTTACTGTAGTTTAGAGCTTGCAAGAGGCGTAGCGTCATAAACCCCATCAATCGGAGAGCTAGAAAACGCAGCAAGATAAATCTTGGAAGAAGTGATCTCAGCATGCCTAGCTTAACCTACCTACGCTGAATTGGAAATGCGCACTTACTTAAAACAGAGAGCTATCGCTGTATTTATTAAGCTTACACATTATAGGCGGATTAGGCGGTTGCTTAATCTTTCGTCAAGGCGGCTGTGGCTTTTACTTCGCATTAGTGGCGGCTCGGCATTGATTAGCCACATGTAGTAACTATAAGTAGACAGGTAGGGCGAGTGTGCCAACGCACATGTAGGAATCAGAATTATGACGATTACTGATAGTATTAAGTATGTAACTTCAACTGGCCGGCCTTCTTGTCATGGCACTATTAGCAGATACTACCAGTATGATGCCGGGATCCAAGTCCACCCAGATCAGAATTAAACAAGTAATAGAACTACCCTTTTGCCCTCTGGAGGCTAGTTTCGAGTGCACAAGGCAGTAGGAATGAGGAATGAGCATTGATGCGCAAGGCTGTGGGAATGAGGAAGAAGGAATAGGCATCAATACACATACAAGTTCGTACAATGAAGACGCCATCGGGCTGGCTAGGCTGCATCAGGACTCTCAGGGATGGTAACCGAGAGTGTTGGTGATGAACAATGTGATAGAATTCAGCCCGGTTGCTGTTCCACTTGGTGCATCTGCAGACATTTCATCAAGCCCCTCCCTACGATACAGCTGGTTATCAGTATTCATTTGCGTATACTACTCGCAACCGAGGCTCCAATAGGTCCACATATGTGGGCAGCAAGGATGACCAAGAATTTGTAAATGGCGAGCCAACAACCAAAAGTCTCTCCAGCCATTGGTCCGCATTTTGCCGAATAAAGGAACGGTTCCACGCAGCCCATATGCGAGGTTACATCCATTCATATGCGTTCGGCGTATAAGTGGCAATCGCGGGCAATGCGGATTGGCAGTGCTTCGAGTTGCACGCATGTGCCTCACAATGGAGGATTCGCAAAGGCAGAACCAACAGATAGAAAGCAAGCTAATGTAGGTCTTGTGCCTCCTATTATGAGGTTCCACAGAATGGGCCCCAATGAGTCTCGCAAGAGTTGCTGGAGACGCGACGTGACGCGCTGTATAAATATACGAGCCGAGTCTCTGTAGAAGTACCGCAACACGCAGACTTTAATATCCATCAGTCAATTGTAAAAGTTTCGGCTTCTGTGCTCGTCATGCGCCGTTTCCAATTGCTTTTAGGAGCTCTTGGGCTCTCAAACGTTGTCGACGCTGCGTCTACGTTGCTCTCAGGCGGCACAATCGTTGCATGGGACGACAACGAGAACTATTTACGCATAATCCAGAATGGTTCTGTTTTAATCACGAGCGATCGTATCGCCGCTGTGAATACAGATGCGTTGCCATCCAAGCTGCCGACTGGAACAACGGTCGTAGACATATCGAATCAGATCCTAACTCCTGGATTCATCGACACCCATCGCCATGGGTGGCAAACAGTCTTCAAAACAATTGGATCAAATACATCGCTCACCGAATACTTTAGTCGCTACGGAGAGTACTTTTCAGCAGACAAGTTCACGGCGGACGATGTGTATATTAGCCAGCTGGCCGGCATCTACGAAGCCGTGAATGGCGGAGTGACAACAATGCTCGATCACGCCTCTCACACATGGTCAGCGAGTACATCGTACGCCGGACTCAATGCATCGGTCGATAGCGGAGCCAGAGTTTTCTGGGCTTTTACCTTTCACAACATCACGTCGCTCAACTACACCGCCGAGGATCAGTTCCCACTCTTTCGGGAGATGGCCGAGAACAAAAAGGCGCTGCTGGGAAGTTCCGCTGCTGAACTCGGCATTGCATATGACTACTGGGGATCAAATCCAGATGTCAACGAAGCCCAGACCGTCGCAGATCTTGCCAAGGAGTTCAACGTCTCGGTTGTGACGACGCACTCTCTTTCTGGGCCGTGGGCTTTCAGCAATCTTCCATCCCAAGTTCAAAGGTTTGACCTTTTGGACGGGTCTATCCCAGTCGTCTTTTCGCACTCGAGTTTCATAACGGCGGATGATTTACAGCTCCTTCGTTCCACCAACCAGTATATCTCTATCACGGCCGAGTCAGAGATGCAGTACGGCCATGGCCATCCCCACTCATACTATGCGCAGGACCAAGCAGCGCTGGGAATCGATACGCATTTTACCTATTCCTCGGATATCTTGACACAAGCCCGCATGTGGCTTCAGTCTGCTCGGCATTACTTCTACAACCAAGTCTTGGAGAACTGGAATGTGCCGACATACAACCCTATGAGCGTCAACCAGGCGTTTTTGCTGGCCACACGATCCGGAGGACTGGCTCTCCGACGCCCAGATCTTGGTGTCATCAAAGTCGGCGCCAAAGCCGATTTAGTAGTCTGGGATGCAGAGAATTCGCCTTCAATGCTGGGATGGGAGGATCCTGTTGCAGCAATTATTTTGCACGCCAACATTGGAGACATCTTGCACGTACTGATTGATGGCAAATTTGTCAAAAAGGATAAAAAGCTGGTAAACAGCGACTATCCTGCTATTCGAAAGAACTTTTTGCAGGCAGCAAAAAGGATTCAAAAGATCTGGAAAGAAATTCCATATCCCACATACGAGGGAACATTTGCAAGTGGCTATTCCTATGGCACGCCACAAGCCGCCGATGTGCAAAGAGGGTCAGGCACAGGATACGGTACTCAGTTCTTATAAAGCGCTAAGGCACGAGGGGAACATTGAAGGCGTTATCAATCGCTCGTACATCCGGCGAAATCATAATATCAGAACTAATATAAATACAATACTGAGGTCTTGAATAGATGACAGTAATCACTACATGTATTTGAACTGGTCTGTGGAAGTGAGGTGATACGGATAAACACATTAGCGGTCTACTGCTATTCTCGTATCAAGAAACAATTTGCGATAGGTCAAGCAGCCATCAACTAAGCTATCATTTCAGATGGCCGTCACTAAGCAGACCAACAACTGCGCTACTCGCGATATATGTTACCAGCGTTGGTGAGCTTGCGTGTTCAAGCCATGAAGCCACCCGTGAACAATTTAAAGGTAAGACGCCTCCACAATGAACCCGACTGTAAACTTGGCATGCCGCAGGATAGCTGGCCACTGGATCTTCTCAAGAGACTGCCTATATGTGAGCCAGAGCTAAACAGACTCCATTTGTGGAACTTACATCTGCTGCAGAATGAATGTTTTGGTTGGTCTTTTCGAATATGTCTTCATTGACGAAAGCGGATGCTATTGACCATAGTAAGTAAAATTGTTATCATGGAAAAGATGTGGAGGTAACTGACGGAAACCGTTGGATCGAGCGCTGGCGTGGTCGGAGCAGCCATAGCCACATCTAGTGGTCAGGGGAGCAGCACCAGTGTATTGAGTCGCAATTACCTTAACGTACTGAGTTAGGGACGCATCAACGTTGTCAGTATACACAGCTATCTTGTTACTCGGCGAGTATCCAGTCATGTCTTGATTGAGCATGGCAAGCACACTCTTTTGAGTGGATTTATAGTTTGAAAAGATCGCCTGGGAGCCAAGGAGACCTCCCTCCTCGCCACTGTACCAGTGAAACTCAATAGTGTTCTTCGGGGTAAAATCCGAATGGGCAATGACACGTAGGGCCTCCAAGATAGTAACAGATCCTGAGCCGTTGTCATCTGCGCCAGGACTGCGGGCCGTAGTAGAGCCAGCGGTAGAGTCCATATGGGCTCCCACAATAACTCGAAGTCCGTCAGTGCATAATGCACCAAAGTGTTGGAAGACAGCAAACTTACTTAGGTTGGAGCTTTGGCCCGGCAGGCGAGCAATAATAGAGGGCTGATTCCATGTGTGATTGAATCTCTGCACAGTGATTTCCGGTCTTACAGATGCAATGCTGGAGACCTGGTCGAAAAGCCAGGCTGAGGCTTGAGTGCCAGTAGTCGAACGGTAATGTCGCGTAGTAAACCTAGTCAACAATTGTTATCATCACGCAATTACTAGCCAATTTCGTACAATACGCACTGCGTAAATGTGGTTAACCAGCTTTGTGGACCACTGATGGACACGTTGGCAATGAATGACTGTGCCTCTTCTACGTGCTCGACCTTGGTCGGATATGTAACCGCACGGGTAGAGAGGGATGCTTCTGAAGATGGAGTGGATAGAATAGATAGCACTTCATCGTCCTTTATTCTGACGTTAATAAGATAACTGGCCGCAGACTTCTGAATTGAGGGTTCAAGATACACACCTTGATCTCAGTAATGTCGATAAACCCTATATTCTTTGAGATGAATCTGTCGAACTTGTCTTGTTCAGTCACCCATTGGCCGACATCAGCTTCGGAGGTCTTGATGAGGCGGAGCCCTGAGCCACTACCAGCCAGAGGCGCGGAGAGAGCAAGTGGGCAAGCCACCAAAAATAAAGATATGGCGATTTTGGTAGTCATTTTATTATAATTTGTTCAAGTTGATAAGTCTGGTAGATATTCTTTATTCAAAGCGTCTAGCATGAATGGGCCAATAGCTCATTTTATGCTTTCACTGCAAGAAGCGGCGCAAAAGAACTCTCAGGAAGGAAACAGAGAATTAGACCTATTTCCCGAACATAGAGTAACTACCATTTACGATATAAAAGCGCCATAGCAACCAATCATTTCATTGTATTGCAGTATGGCGCCTTGCTTGGGAGCTTATGGAGCTTCCTGATCCGGTAATGAGAGCCCGCGCTCAAACCTAATGCCCTCGCTATCATGGCATTTTCCTCATTAAGTGAGGTGACATTCGGGCCAAGAGCAGCAGATCAAGCTGGGCGGGTCGGAGGATAGACATATAAGCTTAATTTATTGGCTAATCTTATTTTGTTAGCCACCATCATAGGTCCTTGGCAGTCGGGGTCGACTACGAGGGGAAAGCACGGATTATAATAGAGGGGAACAATTGCACCGTTTGCGAAAGTTCCTGCCAAAGTTCCATTCTAAACAGCAGGTGGTCTTCCTTTCTGTTATCTGCGCGCCGATATGCAGCACAGTTTCGGAGCTTGGCGGCCATAGCATCTATGAATGGAGGTAGGTTCATAATTTGGCGAGATAGCCGTACTAATAGTCTCGAGGGTATAATGACTACGTGAGCGATTAATAATATGCCAACGATAATGGTAGCTAGTTTCATGGAGATGTTGGGCTTTTGTCGTGAAATGGATGGTGTTGAAACAATGGTCTCAATTTGTGGATGAGCCTGATGAGCAGCTCTCTGATCTAAAGTGGCAAAGACAGTCTGCGGAACAGTAGAATTCAGGTGAAGGAGAAGCGGGCAATAGGTTCCTTGCCCTGTTTCATTGTTTACTGCCTCGTCGACAGTGGAACCTGCTCGCGATGTATATTTCAAGCGCATCATCGCCCATTTGAGGACGTCCTGCGCCAAACCAGCCACCTCACCCGCCTATTCTGCATGATGAATGCTTTATCAGGGATAAACAAGTTGAGAATGAAGCAAAACGAATATCTAACATACGCGCAAATAGATTAATATAAAGTGCAGTGACTGTATCGTGATGTTTGTCCTTGTAGCCACATGCCCACCAGGAGATGCTGCCAGGATCTTTGCACCAGCGCATCTCATAGCCCTGCAGCTGGAGATGAATCGTTTTAGCAACTAACATGCAGTAGGAGAGAAGCATGAGAATTCTAGAGTCGATAAACAAGCGAGATATGGCCGTTTGAATTGTTGCTATCATTTCCAGGAGAAAAATGTCAAACTCTCATAGTGCTAATGTTTGCGGACCGTAACATCATCAAGTGCTAGCTATTATGGTCCAACGGTTAAGACATCAGTTTGTGGTGTTACTACAAACCACTGAAGACCGAGGTTCGACTCCTCGTAATGGCACATTTTTTGCCTTTTCGCTGTATTTCTTTTTTTTGGGGGGGCGACCAACGCCATAGGTTATGCGCAGTTCACAGCAGTAGCTGCAGTACAGAATGCAGCTAAGCCAATTGCTTTTATCCAAACTCCAACTGGGAAAATAGTAGCCAGATACTGCCAAGGTAGCAATCCAGATTGCCTTTCGACTACCTGAAAAGTGCGGCGAAGGGAGACGGGCACGCGCATTCATGCCAAAGATTAAAATCACCAGCTGATTTCTATCCATACAAGTGTCTTATCAATGCTTCCTGCGGTCGCAGGCGTAATACCAAGGGAGCGTAAGCGTGGGTAACATTCTCAGAGTAATCCTCAAGTAATCATGATTTATAATAAATATATCACTTGATACTAATCTCTGTCGTCCTGTTTAGGAAGATGATTGCTAATCCAGAAAGCCAAACCTCTTCTTCATGGCAAAAGGGCTTATACCCTACGTAAACGTCACACTCAGAAAGAGAAAATACGCAGAGAGAATTCAAGGTAGATACTACCAAAAAAAAAAAAAAGCGATACATTTGCCGCAAATACCTTTTTTTCTGGCAATCCTCACATATCCATTTCCCCAGATGTTCTTCTCCTCTTTCAATGCCGTACATGGAAGCTCAACAGCGCTCCAAAAAGGGCAGTGAAGCTGGTCGAACATGTCTTCAGCCCACCAGCTCTCGTAAGCCCCGAAATATGAAATCATAATTCCGCACTCCACCAGCCGCGGTACAAGCCGCATCCTCGGAGAGCTCTCGGCATATAAATATTCCTCCAACAGACAACCCAGCCTCAACACCATCAGTCAACTCACAGTTTCAGACCTTTAACCAGCAATTCAATCTCAAAGTACGAACTGGCCCAACAATAGCATACTGCGAGGCCCAAGCTAAATACCTGCACAGCAAAGACACAATGCCTTCCAACGTGACAGTTTTCTACCCCCAGCCCAAAGAGGGCGAGTTCTTCGACATGGACTACTACATCAACAAACACATGCCCATCGCCAACGAGCTGTGGACGCCTCTGGGCCTCCAGAACTGGCAGGTCCTCCGGTTTGGCCCTGACGCCCCCTACCACGTTGTCGCAATCTTGAACTGGGAAAACGAGGGCGACGCCGACAGGGCGCTCAAGCACGAAGCAGCAAAGACTGTTATTGCCGACGTGGTCAACTTCACAAACTTGAAGCCTACCCTGACGCCTGGCGAGATCACTGGCGCCTGGGAGCGAAAGTAAGGAGGGGTTGCAAAAAGAAGGGCGGGGTTGATGGATCGGGGTAGATTAGTGACGCCACTTGAGATACCTCCCACAGCTAATTCATCGCATAGCAGCTAGCAAATCACGCACAATTTATCATGATCAGCTTATCAGCGCGAGGATGTGCTATTTTGTCCATTAAATTATGGAGTGCCTAGTATCTATACAAGGGGTGTCTAGAATGCGTGAAAGGGTGCTTTATTTACGTGGGGTGTAAATCATTATTACCCCAAATCCAAGGCCACAATCACCAGATGCCTCATTCATCTTCTATATCGATCTCGTCAAGAAATCTCGATACACACCTTTCCCTTGTGCTTTCCCGACCACTGATACTCACATGCCTCCTTGAGCTGATTCAGACGAAACGTCTTGGAATCAATAACCGGTCGGAGCTTCTCCGGATTGGCCTCGACTGCGCGACACAAATCTTCCAACATGACTCTTGATCCCACAGCAATAGGCCGCACTATACACCTATACTTGAAACTGTCCGAGAAGCCGGGCTGGTTGCCCTCAGAACCTCCCAGGTAGCCAACAATGTTGATGACTGCATCTACCTTGATAGCGTTCAAACTCTGCGCCATGGACAGCGGGCCAGAAACTTCAACAACTTGGTCAACGCCAACGCCTCCGGTCAACGCTTTAGCTGTGGCGCCCCATTCGGAGTCCTCTTTGTAGTTGATAACGTGATCAGCTCCGAGATCCTTCAAGAACTTCACCTTGTCGCTAGAGCCCGTAGTAGCAATGACTCTTGCGCCGACTGCTTTGGCAAACTGCAGTGCAAAAACGCTGACTCCTCCGGTGCCTTGAGTCAGCACCCATTGACCAGCGCTCAGTTTGTAATCAGAAAGCCCGAAGAGAGCGCTCCAAGCAGTCAATCCAGCACAACTCAGCGTTGACGCCTCCAGGAAGCTCAAATTTGATGGGACTCGCACCAACCCCTGCTCATTGAAGGCTCCATAGGTGCGAAGCGTGCCATCAAGAGCCCCTCCGAGCATCGAAGCGGCTGTAGCAGGCTGGAAACGTCCGCCAACGAAGTCTTGGAAGAACGCTGTGACAACTCTATCGCCTGGTGTGAAGCGGCGGACATGCTTGCCAACTGCGACGACGGTTCCAGCCCCGTCAGATCCTGGGATGACGTTCGGGATAACCATGTGTGTGGATTTCCCTTGTACTATCATAAGATCGCGATACTAGGACATCAATGCTCTGGTTAGCGGTAATGATCACCATGCTAGTGGGAGTTAACTCACGTTGAGAGATGCCGCTTCTACTGTATAAGTCGGTTAGAATGCGACATGTAAATACGCGGGATCTTTATAATTAAGCTTACATTTCACTAACACATGGCTATCTCCTAATTGAGGAAGAGGCTGTTCCGAGTATTTCAAGGATTCAAATCCTTCTCCCTCAGTGACGTTCCATTGATATACAGATTTGGGGATTTCGAGCGCCATCTTGTGTCCTTGATATGGATGAGCTGCAGTCAATGAATATGTGGATATTTTTGAGATTGAGGCTTGGGTCGAGTTTTATATGGAACTTTTGATAGACTGTTGGGTTTCTGTCTTGATTCGCAGAGCAAACCTTCTTTATGTAAAGCCCGCCCACTAGCAATAATTTGATGTTATTCAACCATGACATTAATAATTCATCATAAGAGCCCATGATGATCCAGGCCCTGTATTCTGACCATCAATAATACAGTTTCAGATGGTACAGAGTCTAATTTATAATATCCCTTACATAGCAAACGCGACCTTACATACAAAAGTTATTAATTACTGTCTTGAGAATTGTCTTTTCAGACAAATACAAATTGTCAGGTGGGTTTTAGCGGGGCGATTTCGGAAAAGCGTGTATCGGACTTAACAGTAAAACCGCGACAATTTCATCTTCCTATCAAACAGGACATTTTGTTCAAACGAGAGAATCATTCATAAGCAGACTACTTGTTGACATATATGAAAATTCTGCAAATCGAATGGAACACAATTCAAAGAGGCCGTCCTCCTGTTAGAGACGTCAACCATTGACGTCTTAGCGGTGGCACGCTAACAGTAGCCCATCTCAGAACAGCTGTAATTACCGGTTTAGGCCTGCCGCCGGGTCAGATTTTAAATATACGGGCGCCAACGATGTAGGATAATGTAATCTACAATGCTTGGTCTGAGAGCTTTTTAAAGCAAATATGGGCATGAAGAGAGCTTTTAATATCCAGATTCGTGAGATATGGTTCTCACTCTTATATAATATTAGAAGATGTGAGTCTACGCCTGCAATATTATCCATGCTTAACGGCAACAGCTCAGCAGCAGCTTTGGTTCGTTCAATCGCTCTTATTGATTAGGCAGTAATGCACGTTTTATTATTCACATCGTCCAAGATCTTTTACCTACTCTCTATATCACGAATAAACGTCTTCAGAACAGTCCAGTAGTCTTGTGAACGCATCGCTTACCATACAGCTTCTAATATATCTCAATGGCACTTTTTTTCTTTCAATACTCCCCAAAGAGCAAAAGCAAAAGCACTATCAATATATTCTCCTAGAGCTTCTTTCCCCTAGTAAACATGATCATAGCTTTAAATATCCTTGAGTATTTTAATAGGTGGAATAACAGCAGATATCTTCATATGAAGTATCGATCAAACGGCCTCTATTCTACCGATAAATGGCGCAAATGCTTGCTATTGCCGCTCAAGACCCGAATTTTTGCCCCATCCCCTGTTTTCATCGTGCTAAAGTTGATGGCATCATTCTGAAATGCGGGGTTGAGCATGTCCTATTTACCCCACCATCTATTCAGAAGATTTCGCGACGTAGCGGTTATGCTGTTGGTGATACATCTCACTGTTTAAAGGTGTATACAGATTATATCACTTCATTTAGAGGAAAACTAGGACCAAGAAAACGTAACAAAAGATGGGTTCAAATTTCCCCTCAGCACTAAAGATAGTCTTTGGGGCTATGACCCTTGGAGAGAAAGGTTTGTAAACCCAGCCTATAGGAACCTTATGGATACTAATTGCAGCTTCTTAGGTGCTGATCAAGCTCGAATTCATACGCTGGAAGAATGTGCAGAAATTCTCGATGTATTCCAAGAGTTCGGCCATTCAGAGGTCGACACAGCTCGAGTATACGGTGGAGGCAGCTCTGAAGAGTACCTCAGACAGCTGGATTGGCAAAAAAGAGGCATTGTTATGGACACCAAACTATCGCCTGCCAGCGGCAAGTATAATCACACGGCCGCGGGTGTTCGACAAGGTCTCTTGGAGAGCATGAAGGCTCTTGGAACTGAGAATGTGAGTTGAAAGGAGAGAAGCATATGACTTGTATATTTATGGGGTGAGCCATTTCCGAACTAAACGTTGATTAGGTTGATATGTGGTACTTGCACGCGCCTGATCATAATACACCATACGAGGATACTCTTCGCGAAGTAAACAAGCTGTACGAAGAAGGCTACTTCAAACGTCTAGGAATCAGCAACTACTCAGCCTGGGAAACGGCTCAGATATGCGAACTCTGCATTCGAAATGGGTGGAAGAAGCCCGATGTCTACCAAGGCGTATACAACGCCCTCCATCGAGGCGTGGAACCAGAGTTGTTCCCTTGTCTGAGATACTACGGCATCGCATTCTATCAGTTTAACCCCTTGGCGGGCGGAATGCTCACTGACAAGTATAAGCTGGATTATAAAGAACACGAACAAGGCAGTCGGTTTGATCCCTCGCATGAGCAGGGTGCTAATTACCGACAAAGATACTGGAACGAGACTTACTTCAAGGCCCTGGATATTGTGAGACCAGTGGCGGCCGAGCTGCGCATCAGCACTGTTGAGGCAGCCCTTAGATGGTCTCTTTATCACAGCTTAATGAAGTACCAATATGGCGACGCCGTGATCATAGGGGCCAGTAGCGTTCAGCAGCTGAAGGAGAACTTGACAAGTTTGCAAAAGGGACCTCTTCCAGATGAGCTGGTTGCAGCTTTTGACAAGGGATGGGAAGTGGCTAAGCCGGTCTGCAAGCCATACTTTCGTTAAGAGAAAGCCGAATATGCTATAGCTGTGCACAACACACCGAATCATGGCCAACGGGCGAAAGACAGGATTCAAGGACAGGGTAGTGGGATTCAATGCAAGCTACCGCTCATCAAAGGCAGATATAACATGCTCCATAGCCCAAGATTATACTCATATCGGCTCACTTATGCTGATTTTTCCTGCCTTCCGGCGGCTCGTTTAACTAGCTACATATTTTTTACCCGTGATTTCTTGATTACTTATACCATTCTTGTTGTATTCCTTCAGCGATGATCTGCGGGGTAAGACCTCACGTACATACAAGTAGGATGTTGATGAGAGTCAGGAAGCATGAAAAGGAAATATCATTATGTGTATCAGAATAGCATGGCGATATCGAGCGAGTACATTTACTTATTGATCAAATAGCAAAGAAGTTCTTTTACGACTCTTGAAGAGTACAATTGACCCTGACGGGCGCTGCACAAGGGCTAGGATTGGTACTTCCTTTAGATACCTCAGATCTCTTTCCTCCGATCCGTCGGGATGTAACCTTGCCGCGATCCGTCGTAACGATTCAGTTGAAACAGGAATTTACAACTTACTTCAACTGATGCGTATTTTTAGGCTAATTTCTGGATTTGTCGTCAATGACAAGATATGGAATCATAAATGACGTCGATCTAGTCTTCTTCTCAAAAGCAACGTACCATATACGCCCAACAACTATCGATTGCTTGTAGTAGTCCAGCAGTGTGATGAGGGTATAGAGCAATAAAAAGCGAACCTCATAAAGCGAACCTCAATTAGGTTCAATTCAATTTAATGCTCATTTAGACAACCAAACATTTACAAAATGGTTCGGGCTTCAGTAGTCTCGTCAATTGCGACTCTCATCGCTCTCGCTACGAGCGAAACAGTCCGCTTAAACGTCGCCAGATCGGCTCCAGCATCATCAAGTCCGCCAATCTCACTTGACTTCCAATCGTTCTCCATTGAGTTTGCATTTCTCGTTGATTTCAATGGTCAGACACAGTCTGATAGCGTCTAAAGAATGATACTCACAGTTTCCCTCAGGAAATAAATCGCATCCGAACAAATTCACCAATAATCTATTGGCAAATTTAAGGGCCTTTAATGGAGATGTTCCTCAGATTCTCCGTGTTGGCGGGAATACTCAGTATGTATCCATCTCAAACGTCAGCAGCTTGTTTTAATAAATGCCCCCCAGAGATCATGTCACATACTCTCCCGACCAGAAAGAGCAGATTATCAATTTCTGGGATCCATCATACAACTCGGATCAGCCTCGCAATACTTCGATTGGGCCAACCTTTTGGGAGGCCTTTACCGCCATTGACGGGACAAAGTACATCTTTGGGCTAAACTTTTACAAAAACGATTCCACATATCTTGACAACCTTAGAGGCGAGGTAGAACAGTCGTCGCTACAGATTCCGCCTAAGCGACTACACTTATTCGAAATAGGCAACGAGAATGATTACGGCGCCCTGTCTGGATTCCGACCTCCAACATGGACCCAGGAGGATTGGGTTGACGAATGGATTAACCGTTCGCAGAGCATCCAAACGCCGACCAATCCGTTACGTTTTTTTGCTCCTTCAACTTGCTGTTATAACATCACAACGCCTTACTCGTTCTTCTCTCCCTGGACGATCTGGAATAGCACGTTCAATTACGATCGAGATGGTTGGATCTCAGAGGTATCCCAACACGGGTAGGTCTCAGCTGAAGCCAACTCAGAGGTGGCTTGGTTACTGAATTGCAGACAGATATGTATCTGGAACGTCTCAGAATCCGTCTCTGCAAGGTTAGTCGATCAATTACGATATGGGTGAAAATATTAAATACGAGAGCAGGCACTCTCATGAATCACACAAGTGTAGTAATAAACGGGACTATCCATCAATCCCTTTGCAACTTGAACCACAACGCTGGTCGCATATATACTCTTGGCGAGACCAATAGCGTCTCTGGTCAAGGAGCCTTTGGAGTCTCCAACGTATTTGGATCAGCCCTCTTCATTCTTGACTATGAGCTCTATTATGCATCTTTCGTGAGTCTCCTAAATTCTGATTTCTATAATAGCATTTTTAACAGAATCTGGCAGGGGGTTAACCGCATGCACATGCACCAGGGAACTGCTTACCGCTATGGGGCGTGGCTGCCGATTTCTCAGAACGGCACCGGTCCGTCAACCAATCCTCCCTACTATGGCCATGTTATGGTTTCCAAATTCATCGGAAGCCACCCCAACACGAGAATCAACAACATTGATCTGAACAGTGATTTTTACTCGGCATACGCAGCATACGAAGATGGACGCCTGGCGCGAGTTGTCCTGCTGAATCTTCACGAATGGAACCCGAGCAGTAGCCAAACCGAAGCCGAAGCCGAAGCAGCACCAAGCACGACCTTTACTCTGAGCACTGGCCGAAGCGGCATTAAATATGCTACTGTGGAAGTGATGACAGCTCCAGGTGCATTATCGGAAACAAATATTACGGTCGCTGGAATTAGTTACGATTATGGCCTGGCTGAGGGAAAGCCCGTGAAGGTGGCGAAACAGTACGAGAGTGTGCTTCGCCCTGATGACAAGGGAGAGATCTCTGTTTCAGTACGGGACTCACAGGCAGTACTTTTGACGTTTCACTAGATGGCGAACATGGATGTCCTGCAATACATATTGGAGATCTATTAGGTAGGTAGCGCGCGAAGCAGGCATGTTCATAGGTGAGCTCACAATCATGTATGAGAGACTGTGTGTAAATGCAAGGCACGTAGAGACTATGTCTTCAACAAAGCTTGCCCATCTCAAATCTGACATCTTTTACATTCAAAACATAAAAACACACAGCCAATACTACTTCATCTGACTAAGACCAATGCCATCAGTTCGTCAAAGACACCTGCATATGCATTGGTAATCGCTGGAAACTCCTCCCCGCTGTAAAGGCCCGCAATCTGCCGAAAAGCTGCCCTTCCAAGCGCTCGGCTTTCCGACTCCGGGGGACTCGCGCAATCAGCAGCCTCCATTCGCCATTTGGATATCAGCGATCCACTAACAGGCCGGCTGCAGTTCGCCGAACGAAACGGGACAAAGAGACAAGGCTTCCGAGCCCATTACTTTGCTTCATTCTACACCGCGCACGCGACAAAGCAGAGCCGCAGTTCTCAAAGGGCTCAAAAGGTGCTGCGGGCTCAGAATGGCAACCAGTGAAACTACGCCACTGCTTCCGGGCCGTAAAGACGCGCCTTTGGCCACTCAGAAGGGCTTTGGGGCGTCGGTCAGAGGCATATTCACCAATGTCGAGAACCGCATCCTAGCGGCCGGGTTTCTGATATGCGTCGCTTTCAGTTACACCCAAGTCCCGTGAGTCGCAATGCCTGTATCTATACTTTATAATAGTCAGATCTAACATCATTTGAATAGGCTCATGTATGTGTTCCATCTCATGGTATGCGACGAGTATTACGACCATCATCCGCCCTTTGAAGGCCCCGGTCAGCGATGCAGCCGCGACGAAATTGCTGCTGGGACCGCGGCTCAATTCAGTATTCTAGGAATGAGCACGACGCTATGTGGTGAGTTATTCTGACTTTTCACTCAGATTATACCACTCGAGTTCATGTAAAATTGACGACAGCCACGCGTGTGACGCTCAGGAACTCTCAATCTATTCCTCGCCGGATGGACGGTCAAGAAGATTGGCCCTCGCGCCGCTCTCATAATCCAGACCTTTGTGCCTGCGATTCGAGTCCTTGCGCAGATCCTGGGAGTCATCGCGGGCAAACGGACCGGCATGCTGATTATCCAAAGCACTCAGCTCTTCACCATTGTTGGCGGGCCCGCGGGATACATTCTCATCACCAACATCATCGCCAGTGAGCTCGTCGAGCCATCTCGGCGTACAGTCGTCTTTGGGAAATTGCAGGGAAGCATCATGCTTGGGCAAAGCATTGGATACTTGGGCATGTATACCCTCTGGTTTCAATAGCTTATCCAGCCAGCTAACAGGTTGATGCACAGCTGGTGGAATGATTGGCGATGCGATCGATATTCGCGCCCCCTTCGATTTTGCCTGCGTCACGTTTCTCATCGCCTGCGTCTACGTCCGCTTCGGCCTCCCGTACATCTCGCCAGAGTCTATGAGCAACAAGAAACCAGGTCGGCAAGGCATTGCAGGCTTCTTCGCACCGCTCAAGATCCTCGTGCCGCAGCGCATGCGCTCAGCCAACGGTAGTGTCAAGAAGCACTATGGCGTAGTGATTCTCTGCGCCGGCATATTCCTAGGAGTCGTACGTAACAAGGCCTATCATTTTATTTCATTTCACTTCATGCCGTGTTTCTTCAGGACTAACTAGACCCCTATCCAGCTGGCAACGGATTACGCACCTCTGTTGATCCAAATGTACGCCACCGCGGCCTTTGACTTTGACCAGGCCGACAACGGCTGGCTCATGTCTGAATTTGCCTTTATGAGAAGCATATTCCTCATCCTGCTCTTCCCGCGCATCATCAACTTCGGCCGCCACCTGATGAAGCGTACTTCAAGCCCAGCACCAGAAGACTCTGACGATTCGTCCATATCCACGGCGGATACCCAATTACCAACCGAGCCCGGTGACTTCGATGCAGCTACCGGTGAGCAGACCGATGTTGAGCCAACTAAACCGCTTCCCTCGACGCATCACCGCGAAGTCGGGCGCTTTGATCTCATTTTCCTACGATGGAGTCTCGTAGTTGACGGAGCACTCACTACCGTGGTCGCATTTGCCACAAAGAGGTGGCATATCTATCTGGGTAGGCTCATCGGGCATCGACTCAACTTCGCCTCACGTTACCTAATACTAATCCATCTCTTGTAGCTGCATTCCTCTTACCTTTTGGATCCGGCTCTGCGCCAGCCGCCAAGGGCGTCATCACAGACATGTGTTCAGAGTCGCAGCGCGCGGATGCCCTCAACGCCGTGACCCTTGTAGAGAACATTGCCCGATTGTCAACACAGGGGCTATTTGGGTTTGTATTTTCGAGTCTTGCAGGCGTAGGCAAGGCATACATAACGTTTTTCTGCAACGCGGTAAGTTCTGCCAAATGACAGCCAAGCTGGACAATGTTAATGAGAGGCTAATTTGGATGGAACTTGTAGGCAATTGCAGTGATTGGAATGACAGTCTTGCTGTTTTCCCGTTTCCCACCTGCGGGCAGTACACTAGTTGATGAGGACGCTGAAGAAACAGGAGAAGATCAAGATTAACGTGATAAGTCACTTTGTTCCTCAAAAGGTTCACGCATCTAATGGCGGCTCTATAAGATGGGGCTTTTGCTCGATAGATCAACCATTAGCATCCAAGCCGCTTTCCGTTCATACATAAGCCGAGCATGCTTCTGCTCGCAAGAATGACACCCCAAAAGTTATAGAATATATAGAATCTAAAATATACTCGTTATGCTTCCACTGTAAAAACATGCTTTCCTCCAGCAGCATCAACACTCGCCCAGCCAGTTGTCGGGTCAGAAGTCACATTAACAGCTGTTCCATCCACACTTATCGTCGGATTATCCAGCCCCAAAGTCGGAACGCAGACCACCCCCGATGAGCCATCAGGTGTTTCAATATTCAGAGTAAACACCACCCCAGTTTGTGCATCCTCTCTCTCCCAAGAGACTTCAATACTCCCTTGCGGTGTTGGCACTTCTCCTTTGGCCCATGTAAGTCCGCCACCATCTACCACGGGACAAATCCTCCAAGTCTTGAATCCAGGAGACTGGGGCTTCACTCCAAGGACGTATCCAGTCAGCAGCGGAACTACTCCCGTTGACCAGCCATGCGCCATGGATGTAAATGCACCCTCGTAAGGAGCGCCGCCTGGTCCAATGCCCTCCCACATGGTGATCTGAGGATCATGGCTCGCCATCCATCCGTAGAGTCTTCGGAGTTCGTCAAAGGCAGAAGAAGCCTGCCCAGGAGTGGCAAATCGGGCGGCAATCTCAAAGTAGGAGATGAAAGCGTAGACTCGATGATTGAAATCGTCGCCAGGGCTCAAGATGCTGCTGTCATAGAATGTGTTTCCATATTCCTGAGAGGTCGCATTTTGCCAATAATCCAGTATCTGAGCCGAGGTAGTGTCGTTTGTCACTCCTGCGAGGATAGCAATAGAGTTGCCATCTTGCGCATGAACATTGCAGTATGTGCCAGCTGCCGCTCCAGGACAAGGGCCGCCATCATAGAACGCACCAACGCTCTGGTCAAAATTGCGACTCAGAAGCGCTTTTCCAACAGATGAAGCCCTAGAAGACCATCTTTCTGCGTCGTCACTGAGGCCTAGGCTGGTAGCCAGCTGCGAGGCATACGATAGCGCATGGACGTACAAGGCGTTGTAGTACGTTACGGGCCCTGACCGGGGCAGAAACGCATAATCACCATAGCCGGTGTCATTTTTATACAGAAGCCCAGTTGCACTGTCCGTATTTGAAGCGTAATACCCGTCAAGGGCGTTAATCAGCGTATTCCAGTAAGTGTTCGCATAAGAGGTATTGCCGGTGTACATTACAAGGTCGACACTGCAGACAACCCACCAGAGGGGATAGTCAAATAGTGGAAGACCGTAATTGTTTCTATTGTTTCCAACTGTTAGCCGACAATTTCTTTACCGCGAGTCATATTCGCGACCTTTGAGAAAGACTTACATGCTCGCTGGAGGGATCCACCCATCAGAACGCTGATGCTGTGCCAAGTCTTCCAACACATTTATTGATGATTCAGCAAAATCATGAGACAAGTATGAAGTAAGTGATGACACAGCCAGATCCCCAACATATGGATCTCTATCACGCTTAGCACCATCAAAAAGTACTTGTTTGCCCTCCAAGGTCGGACTAGAAGCACTTCTCGGCTCTGTCTCATTGGCAAGAAACACATCTGTTCCCATATCCACGGTATACACTCCATCGTACCACCATTGCGTGAGATTCTCGTCTGAGCATTCAAACGATCCGGTGAAAGTATCCGGCGTCCCAAGATACGCAGACCATTCAAGGCTCACGCTCGAAATGGAAACAGAACCTAAAGAAGAAGTGTACGGCGCATCCGATGCCAATGCTTCCAGCCAGATTTTCACGTAGCGGAAGCCGTGAAGCCCATCTGAGCAGACTTGAGTGCCGTTTTCGCATCCATGGAGATCGTTCCAAGTGTAATTGCCGTTCTTGACAGCCACCTATGATATAGGCAAAATATCAGCGTCCAGATTTCTTAACAGTTTGACGATTTCGGTCTTGATTTTCTTACCTGGTCTGTTCCATTGGTCAATTTCTCATTCTATACCGGTAGTTTAGTTAGCAGTCCGTCTGATCAAAAGAAGAGGGCAAGGGGGTATACAATTTCCCAAGACTCACTCCGCTAGCATTATCTGATCGTGTGAAATCACTCCGATCAGTGAGATACTCCTTCGTCTCAGAAAAGGCCAATCTCAAACCCGGCAGTCCCGTAGACAGGCTCTGCGATTCGCTGAACTGCAGGCTTAGAATCCCAACTACATTCTGTCCAAAATCCACCACTATTGTTGGCAACTGGTCGCTCTCAGTGTTGCGGCTCAGCACTGTGGGCTCTTGACCGTCAATCAAGCCATTGGGGTTAGAAACATTGCCAATCGTGCTGTCCGATATAATTCCAATTGGCTTCACTGTATTGGAAGCAGGCGATCTGACATGTTTTTGCCAGCTTGGAGCCGTATCCGCTGCACCAAACTGGACGCCGTTTGATAACACGAGGCCAGTATAAAGCGCAATCAAGCTGTTAGAAACCATGGCTGCGCCTCATAAGTCAGCTCTTGGCTACCAATTCAATTGTAAATCCAAGGTCCAATGCTTCAGTTTCACTCACTTACACCGCAACGCAGCATCATCCAGAAGCTTTAAATAACATGGCTTCTTTAGGCATCCATAATTGACATTCTCAATCCTATCGGCGATTTCGCGTTATTACGCCCCGAGTGTAACCCTGTCCTGAATCTACATGCGGGGTCAGATCCGCGATCTGTTCCCCGCGATGGGATACGAAGCGCCGAAAGGAAGCAGCATAATAGGCAGCCGACTCTGAGAATACGGATATTATATCTAGTAACTGAGGTGATAGATCATCCTACGCTAAGATGACATTAAAAGGGCGGGGATGCATGAAATTTGTTGCCCTATGAGTGGCTTAGAGGAAGATATATGAGATGCTAGCCAGCTTAATTCATGATTTAGCTGCCGAAGGAGAGGGACAGCTAGGTATTAGACTACGCGCCTTCAACTGACCAGTGGCTTAAAAATATCGTGACGCGCGTTAATGAGATCCGAGATCCAAAGTCCAATCAAGCTATCGCGGCTCATATTTGCAAGACCCCGAGAGTAGAGAACCGGCCCGTCAAGAGATCGGTGTGCTAGGACAATAGACGGGGACAGTCTTTTTTAGCGTTTCAGCAGACTACGTAACCAACAAGGCATTCCAGAAGCGCAATTCGCGACTAGAGATGGTTATATATATCAAGTATTATGTATACCTAGATCTAACTAGGACAAAATTGATATAAAGATGAAGGACACAAGAGCAATACAAGATGGTAACAACCCACGTAATCCAGCAAAGTATTCGCGGAAAAGTTGAAATGATAACCCCCCAGACACCTAGCACCATTGCTCAAGTCAAAAACAAAAAGCTGCCATCTAGCATCCCGGGATTATGCTTCGCCCTTTTCCTTCTTCTTCTCACTCTTCTTCTCAGGCTTCTTCTCAGGCTTCTTCTCAGTCTTCTTCTCGCTGCTCTTCTCACTGCTCTTTTCACTGCTCTTCACACTGCTCTTGTCACTGCTCTTCACACTGCTCTTCTCACTGCTCTTCTCATTGCTCTTCTCACTCTTCTTCTCCAGCATCGTCGTCGCTTCCCAGATATGCCCATCCAGATCCTCAAAGCTCCTGGTGTATATCCCCACGGACTTTCCATACCCGTCCATTGTAAATGGATCTTTTTTGCCACCCCCCCTCTCGGCCTTTTCTAACAGCCCATCTACATCGTCTCTGCTGGCCACGCCTAGAGTGTATATCGCGCCCGTAACCTTCTTCGCATTTATAATCTCTGAGCCATGGCGAACAAATTCTCCGAACCGCGATGTGGAGTGTAGCATAAGACAGATATTAGAATTGGATTTGTAGGGGAAACGGAAGGCAGAGGTGTTTGCGTCGGAAAAATCAGGAAGAGGAGTAAATGAGAGAGATTTGTAAAACTCGGTAGCGGAGTTGAGAGATGCGACTGGGAGTGAAATGAAGAATGATGGCGGATTCGCAGTCGGCATTGTAGCAGAAGGATATTATTGCTGATATATATACTATGAGAAATTCGGCATGTATGTGCAACACGTATATGTTAGTTCGTTGTAATTCAGAAGTTGTTGCAGTGGGCTCTATTACGTCTTATAAGGCTGGAGGATATGGCTTCATTATGACATAAAAGGCCCATCATCGGTTACACAAGCATCATCTATCCGGCGCTAGAGACAGCTCAATCAGAATCAGATGGACGAGATTGAAACCTTGTTTCTCCCAGCCATCACGCTAAGACAGCTTTTTTGCCCTTCTGAGAAAAAGGTGGTGTAAGCAGGGCTGCAGCAGCTCCAAGCCTAGAATTACTTGGCGTAGCATTTAAAGTGTTCCTGGATAGCTGTGCAGCTCGCTGAATCGCAGCACCTATATTCGGCATGAGTATTGCTGATAATTTATTAGCATGCATATGCACTATTGATATTCGTTGATATTCGTCCAATGCCTCTCTCGCTCGCTCCTTGTCAACGTACTGCTGTGCCTATTGCAACTTATCACTGCGACACTATTGATTGTTAACTTGCATTTTATGTAGGGAGAACTCGTTTGCACACCGCTTCTGCCGTGAGTATGCGCCCAACCAAACCTGGTGCTGGGCTGACTACTACTACAACTTACTCTCATTCAAGATGCTCAGTAATCGGGCACTATCACCTGCAGCATAAAGTTCGAAGACGCCCTGAAATTGTATCTATAAATAATCTCCCTCGCAGGCGGCAAAAACTGAGCTCATATATCATCAAACATGTATGAATTGTCAGATATAGCGAGGTTACTATGCTGAGAAACAGGAGGTGGTACGAGAATCCTTATGGCAAAAGCAACGAAGTAGTAATCCTGGCATCTATAAGCCGACGGCACAGTTTTGGAAAGGCATCAATACATGTACATACATATATCCTGCAGCTCTTCGACCAATTAAAAAGACATCACCACAATGTCTGCTATACATGATCCCAGCAGCATTCTCATATACATATCCACCAAGCCATACTAAACATTAAGCATCGCAAATCCTCAAATGTGATACTGTAATGACAGCGACGTTGCATGAAACACTCGCCCCCATTGGACATCCCTTACTTTAGCCTCTGCCGTTCGGGCCGTTTCCACATTCTGTGCCTGAAAGAGCAGCTGTCACCATCGATCCACAAGCAAATCGCATCTCGGCTGAGCTAGCAGTCGATTGGCTGAGTCTGTCTACGCAAGGTTACTTTGTGTGATTTGGTCGCTCTTTTTGATATGGCACTACTCGGAATTTAAGCCCAAGAGCCTACGGATAATAGACATATTCAGACAACAAAGTCGCAATCGGAATTTGGTGTCATGCTTCTGCACGTCTAGACGGCTGGCAGAGGCAAATAGGACAAGATCGGCATGTACGAGTTGCCTATTCTATGCCAACGCGCAGCGCGAGAGCCGCGGTGGGACTAGAACAAGAGGCGATAGTAATCACAGCTCAGTTTGACACCTCCTCATAGGGGCTACCGCATCAATATGAGGATAGTTGTATAAATAGAGCACTGCAACCTTATAGCTTTAGATCATGGTAAGCAAAGTGGTATACGCCGGGATTCACTTCGAAATACCATCTCTTCATAAACCGGCACCGCTATATCAATCATCATGAAGGCCACTCTGTCGTGGCTGCTCTACGCCACTGCGGTATCAGCCGCGTCGCACAAACAGCACACACACCCTACCAGAGCCACAGCCATCGATGCCTCTACCATCCAAGGCAAATGGCTCTTTGGCTACCAAGGCTGGTTCCGCAAACCAGGGGCCGGCGTAAACAACCACTGGTCCGCTGACGGCAACACGCCAGGGCCCAATAACAGTAGGGAAAACATCTCTTTCCAACGACTCTTATCGTCCAGATAGCCGAGACCTTGTATGACTGACACATTGATAGTTGAAATCGACTTTATCCCAGACGTCAGCCAGTATCCGTCCAACTGCCTCTTCAACACTCAGCTCACGCTGCCAAATGGTCAACCAGCCCAATTCTACGACAGCTCTTGCGAGGGTGTTGTCGATCTGCACTTCAAGTGGATGCAGCAGTACGGCCTTGACGGCGTGATTGTGCAAAGATTTCTAGGGTCTACCGGCGACCAGTCCTTTATCACGGTGGGCATATGCCGTTTTGTATGCAAATCGCAGGCTCAAATATCTGACCACCAACCTAGGTCCTTAATCAAGTCCAAGCAGCGGCTGAGAAATATGGCCTCGGCTTCATCGTCGAGTACGACGTCTCCGGCGCCGACTCATCCCAAGGCAGCGTCGCTACCGCAGTGCTAAACGACTACAACGCAAACATCAAAAAGTACACCAGCTCTTCAGCCTACATCCACCAAAACGGCAAGCCAGTCACCATGGTCTTTGGCATCGGCTTCTCTGGATTCAAAGTCACTGCCGCCGACAGCATTAACATTGCCTCTCAGCTCCAGAATGCCGGCACGTACGTCGGCTTCGGCGTGCCTGAGCAGTGGTCCGGCGATGTCACCGGCAACACGGGCTTCGTCCAGGCTTATAAGCAGGCAGACTTCATCAGCCCTTGGACTGTGGGAGGCTACAGCGATGCCGGCTACGCAGGCTTCCACACTTCCACACAGGTTCCAGATGCGTCGTACGTAATAAGTCCACTGCTCGGGATCTTTTCTGCAGATTTGAACGTTGCAAGCTAACAGTGTCTTGTTACTAGGTTATTGAAGTCTCTCGGCAAGCAATACGCACCTGTTATTTTCCCGGGCACTTCTGCCTTGCATCTCAACGGCGGCAACAACCCATCAGCATTCGACTACTTCCCACGATACAACGGCTCTTTCTACTCGGCACAGGCTGATGCTCTTACCACCATGGCCAACAAGCCTCTCTTCATCTTTAGTGCCATGTTTGACGAAGTCAACGAAGGTGAGTTTATACACACAGCTGTGTTTCCTTCTTCTTTCAATCTCCGAAGAGAACAGTCGACTGACCAATTTTATCTCTAGGCACTCAAATCATGCCATCTCTCAAGACCAACCAGCTGCCCACCAACCAAAAGTTTGTGGGCTACGACAACAACTTCGCCGACACAAGCTTCTACCTGGAGCTGGCCGGGAAGAAGGCTGCTGCCTTCCACGCTGCGTAGTCAAGTACACAGCATCAAGATAAAAACAACGTGTGATAGCTTTTTATGTAGAGTACATATCAATAAAGTGAAATGAGTAATGAATAGGTCTGAAAAGGTCTCCAAAAGCAGCCTTATAAATAAAGACTACCAGGATAAAAAAGTGAAAGTGATAGAATGGGAGATTTGATACAACGATACGAACTATGTGATCCTGCCACAACGTAAACTACCGTACGCCCATCGATATACTAGCAAACTACTTAGATGACCCCAGCTTCTCAACGCCTTTCCCTTTCGACTCGATCCCGCTCGTTAGCTTCATACGTTTCTACATACCTAGGCATTGCTTTTAAGTCTTCCACCGCATTCTCTTCTCAATCACAGCTACACACTCCCCCTCTCCAAACCGAGGCTTCCCGACAGACCAAGCCCAAGTCCCAACGTCACATCAACAACACCATCAGAATTGACTACTCCAACAATAAGGTAGCCAAGCATCAACTACCGCCGTCCCCACCCCTCCCTAAACGCAGCTCAGAAAGTCAAAAAAGTCAACACCCCCCAGCTAAGCACTCGCCCATCTAACAAGCAGCAGCCAATCCACGCGCATTCCGCTCACCACCGGCGCGCTCGGAAAAGCCAATCCAAGAAGAGGCATAACAACAACATACTTGCAACCCTCCATCCAATAACATCATTAACCGCACACGGGAGGGCTACAGCAAAAAAAGGTTACCTCGGGCTTGTTCATGAAACACTTTCCTATTTTCCTAGACGCCATAAGCACGTAATGACAGCTTGTTTCTTGCAATTGTTCTTCAAGCCAACGGGCGTTTTTGCACCAAATGGCCCTTATGCAGCTCTAGTTCGCGCGGAGGCGGCATCCTTCCCGAGTAGAGTAAGTTACCAAGGAATGTCAATTCAACTCTTTTTCTTGTCAATCACTCTTGTTTTTCCCTCTTACTCAAAGCTCAACCACCCAATCACTGAAATGGTGGGGAGTCTGCCATCTTAGCCCGCACCCTCCAGATATTGATACATCTACACCGAGACTCAGCTTTTTTGCTCACAATAGCCTAGCCATGATATGTCGACCAACATACATGAGCCGAATACGCCCACCAATGTTCAAACACGCCATTTTCGTTAATCTGCATGTTTGCTGATCCGTTTACCTATTCGTTTCGTAATGCAAAACACAGAAACAAAAAATGGCCGTGAAATGAGAGACTAAAGACCCTTGAAATCCACCCTAGTAGTATCACGACAAGAAACCGCAGAGTAAAAATTTTGACAACTAAAACCACACACCAAATAGCAATTCGCGCCTACTGACTTACCCTCTAGCCCAGTTTCACCTGTAGACACAACGTTAAAAAACCACGCTCTCCATGTTTTCCCCCCTCCCAAGGTGAAAAGGTGAAAAAAAAGCGGAGTTTAGAGCAGCAGAGCAGGTCATTAAGGCTTCACACTAACATCCTTAGCCAGCATACTAGAGCCGAGATTCCGAAACTCTCTGCACGATCTAGTGGGCTCGCGAGCTCCGGTGGCGTAGGCCCGTAGTTTCAAAACATGGAATAAAAAAATTGAAGGAAAAAAAAATTACTTAGCTTGCGCCATTTATTTGCCTGGCGGTTGGAGAAGGAATTGTGGGAAAGCCCGGTGCCCAGACTCATAGTAGTGTTGTTGGTTGGTGTAGGATAAGCTTGTTTAGTGAAGGGAAGAACTCTCTCCAAGGTGGTCTAAAAAAAAAAGAAGAAAAAAAGAACAGAAGAGTAAACACCAAGTTTTAAACATCACAAGCAATTGGCACAAGAAACAGTAAAAGTATTTTTGAACATAACACATTAGCAAGATATGAAAAGTCTATAGTAACTAGATATAGGTTTATACTAAGTTTTAAATTAAGTTAGCGAACTGGGGGAATCAAAAGGTTAACAATGCATCCACCGGGCTGGAGAACTCTTCTCTATTGCAAGTTCGTGTCTCCCCCCATCTTTGACTTTGGTAGCAAAAACGTGAACTTGTTTCTTTGCAGAGGCGATTGACCAAAACAAATTGAAAAAAATACCACATGTTAAGCTTGCTCCCGCTCTTCCCTCAATTGTAAAAAAAAGAAAACTTTGGTCCTCTCTAGACCAACCTTTCTCTTCCCCAGTTCACCATATATAGATTAAGCGCTTTTTTGTAGGCGAGTAGTAGCAGTTCTGTTTTTGTGACCATATTAAAATTATTGCGGTTTGGGTATACACAAACATAAAAAAGCAACTCTCTTTCCTAAATTAGGCCTTGAACATCCACGACATTAAAACTCCCAGTTTACTCATCCTCGTTATCAATAGCCTTGTCGGCAAGGAGGTAACGGTCAACACCCGTCGCCTCGTCTCTCTCGTGCTCAATGGCGAGCTTCTGGAGAGCAGTGAGGACGTTCTCGACAATGGTGTCCTTGCGCTTGCGGTCCTTGCGGCCGAGGTCGTTGAGCCAGGGGATCTGGTTGAGGATGAAGTAGATGATGGCAATGAAGATGGTGACACCGAAAGAGTAAAGCCAGACAATGACAACGGTGACAATGTCGGTCCAACCATCGTGACGCTGCTTGGCAAGGTCGACGGGGTTGTCGAGCTCAGGAGCACCAGACAACCAACCGAAGAGGGCGAAGAGAGTGGCCATGATGTCGACACCGAGAATGGCGCCGACGAGCTGCCAAGAGGGCCAGGTGCGGCCACCACGGGTAACAAAGATCAGCCAGTTCTCAGTAAGAGCAACCTCGAGGAAGAGAATCTCCTGGACAGAGCCAAAGTTCTGGATGATACCGCCGTTGGGCAGGTACATGGTTCCACGGAGGACCCAGGTACCGAGGGCAAGCAATATTCCGAGGACGACGGAGATGACCCAGATCTTGGGCAGCTGCCACTCGACGGGACGGGGCTCGTAGTGGGCATTGTCGTAGGCGACGGCGACGGTGGCCAAATCGGCAAACAGGGCAAGGAAGACAATCAGGTCGACACGGATGGTCTCGTTGATGATGATCATGGACAGGGTCAGGTAGATCTCAAGGTGGAGACACAGAGCAATACGGTACTGGACGTAGGCCTTCATGCGCTGGAAGATCTGGCGAGAGGTCTTGATGGCAAGGACGATGGTGGACAGACCGGGGGCAAGGAAGACGATATCAGCGGCAGCCTGGGCAGCCTCGGTGGAACCCTCGACGGCGATACCACAGTCGGCCTTCTTCAGAGAGGGAGCGTCGTTGACACCATCACCAGTCATGGCAGTCAAGTGGCCACGCTGCTGGAGCATCTCGACGACACGGTACTTGTGCTCGGGGAAGACCTCGGCGAAACCGTCAGCACGCTCGACAAAGTCGTGGGCGACAGCGCCGCCGAGACCACCGCCGATGAGCTTCTCAGAGTTGTAGACCTTGGTTCCGAGGGCAAGCATCTTGCAGGTCTCCTTGGCAATGGCAATGGCGTCACCAGTCAACATCTTGACGGGAACACCGAGCTGGGCAGCCTCGAGAATGGTCTGGGCGGTATCCTCACGGGGGGGGTCGAACATGGACAGGAGACCAAGCAGAACCCAGTCCTCGTCGTTCTTCTTGTAGCAGACACCCAGAGATCGGAAACCACGGCGGGCAAACTCACGATCCTTCTCGCGGTAGAGAGAGGCGAGGGGCTCGGCGGGGTTGGCCAGCTTGAGAATGGCCTTGGGGGCACCCTTGGCGCAGATGAACTTGTCCTTGCCGAGACGGCACTCAGCGGTGATTCGCTTGGAGACGGGGTCGAAGGGGGTGAACTTGTCGGTGACCCAGCCCTGCTGAAGGACCTCACGGGCCTTGGGGTAGCGCTTGAGGGTCAGGATGGTGACCTTGTCAATGGGGTCGAGGGTCTTGAGGTTGTGGGAAGAAGCGAGAGCGGCAACGGCCATCATCCAGTTGACATCCTGGCCCTCAACGACGTAGGGGTCACGGATGGAGAGCTTGTTGGCAGTGAGAGTACCGGTCTTGTCAGAGCAGAGGATATCGACACCGGCAAGGGACTCGATGGCAGTGAGCTTCTGGACAATGGCCTTCTGCTTGGCGAGGTAGGCAGCGCCGACAGCCAGGGTGGTGGTGGTGACGACGGGCAGACCGACGGGAACACCAACAATGAGCAGCACAAGGGCGTAGTGGAGCAGGTTCTGGGAGCCGGGCTCGGCAATCTTGAGGTGGTGGAAGAAACCGCCAATCCAGGCAGCGAGAATCCAGAACATGACGAGGACGAGCAGAGAAGTACCAATGTTGTTCATGACAGCCTTGAAGTGACCCTGGTCCTTGGCGCCCTGAACCAGGTCGGCAGTCTTACCGACAAAGGAGTCGTGGGCAGTGGCGGTGACAATGGCATAGGCCTTTCCACGCTTGCAGCCGGTGGTGTAGTAGGCAACATCTCCGAGGTACTTGTCGACGGCGAGGGACTCACCAGTGATGGCGGACTGGTCGACGGCAACAAGAGAAGTGGCGCGGTGGGAGACCAGAACGCTCTCCTCATGTTCCTTTTCGTCTTCCTCAGCCTCGTCGTCACTGCTGCCGAGCTTGCCTTCAGCGCGGAGCTGCTTGAAGACCTCGAAGTCCTCAGGACGAGTGTAGTCGCAAATCAGGAGAACATCAGCGGCAACGGTGTCACCTTCTTGGATGATGAGCTGGGAAAGGATTGGGTTAGCTGATGAAGTAGAGACAGCGGATGGCGTGTTAGTTGTAGTAGTAGTAGTAGTAGACTTACAATGTCACCGGGAACGATTTCACGGGCGAGAATGTTCTGCTCCTGGCCGTCACGGACAACAGTGCATCGCATGGCAATGTCTCCCTTGAGAGAGGCGACGACATCGGCAGCGGACTTTTCCTGGTAGAAGGCGACGAAAGCGTTGAGCAGCAAGATACCACAGATGACACCGAAATCGATCCAGTCACCCAGACCGACAGCCAACAGGGCGGCAACCTCCATGACTGAGAGATTGTTAGTTTACATTGATTTTCCAGCCATTGGAATGAACCAATTGGAAACAAGTAAAAAGACTCACCATATAGAATAGGACCAGTAAAGAAACCAAGAAACTTGACAAACATATTCTCCTTCTCGGCGCTCAGCTCGTTCCAGCCAGACCACTTTCTCCTCTCGTCGACCTCGTTGATACGAATACCAGTGCGAATGTCCGTGTCCAGCCAAGCCTCGGGCACAACCCTCTTGGCCGGCTCGGCATCGTCGAGCAGACCGGAGTCAGTCGACCGCCAAAACTGCCACCACTTGACGTTGCGGCGCTTCTTCTGGTTGTCGTCGCCGCCCATGCGCGAGCCCTCACGGTAGGTGGAGATGTAGCGCTCCAGGGCAGCGTACTCGGGTAGGTTCTCCTGGGGCTGGGCCTGGTGATGGGAATGGGCCTGAGGCTCGGGGGGAGCGACGGTGCTGCCAGAGTGATCCTCACGATCACCGGCCTCAACGTCCCCCTCGGCCTCGCCCTTTCGTCGATGGAAGACTGACATTGTTGGAAGAGATTGCGCTCTCGAAGCCGCCGCGAAACTGGCAATTGAAAGGACGCAACAAGTCGCAACTGGGCAGGAAGGAGGAAAGAAAATTCATCCACCAAGGCGGCTTGCCAGAGATATTTATTCCAGCGTCCGGACCCCCCCAGTCCACCCATTGCCGTGGTTCCTTTTTTTTTTTCTCTCTCTCTTTCTGTATACTACTGCTACGACACTAACCCATCCTTCGATGAGACGCCAGAAAAAAGTCGCGAGTCCCCATCCATCCATCCCATCCCAATTCCAGCTCTGCCCACACTCCCACGCCTGCTAGTCCTAGTAGGTCCAACTAGTCCCAGTCCCAGCCAAGTACACGCCCCCCATCGGCCAGCGAAGACCGACGGCAGATTGTCGTCCACCATGGCCCGGGCTAGACCGCTTCCAGAGCACGGTCAGGCCTTTGGACGGCTCCTTGTAGCGTCGTGCCGCGCAGTACCTCGTCCAGGCCGCCTGGCTTGTACCTCCCCCCCCCCAAGGGCCGAGTGATCCTGGCCCTTTCGCTGCAAAAGAGCGGCGCCGAAAGGGTTCTGGCGGCGGTGGATACGACTGGTCAGGTCCCGGCGCAACCGAACCTGTCGACCGATGCCGATATCCGACTTAACCCCCAAGCATCATAGCCAGACGCCTCTAGACTGCTTCGAGGCAAGGAAAAGCCTGTGCGCCCGGAGTAGCTGGGAATCCATTATTCGCTCTCTCTGGGGGCCTAGAGCTCGTTTTTTTTTTTCCCTCTCGTCTGTGTCTCGTCTGCTCTCTCAGGCGGCGGGTCCCCCAGAATCAGCACGTCGAATCCCGGGACAGCCGGTTCGAGGAGAGGCAGAAACCTGTACGAAGGAAATCCCGCATCAAAATCATGGGTAATCTTTTTTACTGGGCTCCAATTTCCTTGCCCATTGCGCGCTTACCCGCATCGACATAGAGAACAGCGCATCATAATACCTGCTGCAGCTACAAGCAGTCTAGCTGTGCACATATGTCTATAGGTAGGGGAGAAGATGATAATGCGCGATGATATTTGCGCACTCTCACTGACCGGATTGATGCTCGTCCATGCCGGCAACTATGTCTGTGTCTGTGTCAGTGTCAGTCTCGCGACCGGTCGTATCTTGGGGTCCCTTTTTTTTTTTTTTTCTAAATCCCTCTTTTTGACGGTGTTGATTTTAATCAAGAGGCTGTTTCAAACGGTCTACTCCGTAGTGCTAGCATATGCCCACCCAGTAGACTACCTAGGTAAATACATGTAATCAAAGCGCGTATTGAATGACACGGCAAGCACAGAATAAGAAAGAAAAAAAGCTTCGCGAAACGCAGTTTGTACGTCCCAGCGACGTCGGACGCTGAATTTAGCTGTGTTTTAGTGAACGGCAGCATACCTAAATCATACGTGTGATGGGCAAGAGAGCCAATGACGAAGCTGCCGTTGAGTCTGCTCGGATGGCTTGGCCGGTCTGCGTCTTATTGATTGATTGTCTCTTCTTGATCTGCCGCAATGCAGCAATGCCATACCTCATTCCTCATACAGTAGTAGAGCATGTAATCATCCTACCCGGCAGCAGTTCTTGTACAGTACGGCAGCATCGCAGATCCCAAATCGCGCATACAGTACCTACAAATTCTACGCATTCTAACCTCGGAGATGCAGTCGCCAGGTCCTGCTCCTGGCCCCCTATCATTTCCCAGTTTTTGCCTCCCCCTTCTTCAGTCTCCCTCGGTGAGTGACTGTCTGTTCGAACGGCCTGCCTGAGCCGATTGCCAGCCAGCAATCCCGCATCCGCATCCCGCTCGTGCTTCGCTCTTCCAATCCATACAGCCTGTACAGTATCGCCTTCCTCTCGATCCAATTCGCCGGCCCCCTCCTCGGTGCGTCCCGGGATCGCCTTTTGGGTCCCCCTCCCCAGCTCAGGCAATGCCGGTAGATGTAAACGCTTAATCCGGGCGCTGGCTTGCCCTCTTGCCCTCCTGAACTCTGTTGTAATAGGTAGAAACGGGTTGCCCTCGTTTGTTTCCTGATGCAGCCTACGCCCGCGACGGCGACCTAGTCAGCTACGGTAGTCGAAGCTATGTCATTCTGCATTTCAGCCGCTCTTTGCCATGCTGCCGCTGCTGCTATTTTTGCGCCTTTCTCGCCTTTCCAGCCTCTCCCTTGCCTTGCTTTGCCTGGTCTTGCCCTTTTTCCCCCTTCGCCCTTTGGCCGTGCCTTCCCCCGGAGCTGAGCTGGAGCTGAGCTTGCCTCGTGCCTGCCTGCCTGCCTGCCTGCCGACCTAACCAGCATGCGTGCTTATCAAACGCGACTGCCTCCTTCGCTCTTGCTGCAGTTTTGCGCGGATATGCCTCGCCTGGGCCCCACACCGACGTCATTGGCCATGTGCAGGCCCGCCCCATTTCCGGCCTAGCTCCGTTGCCCCGCAAACTTGGCTGCTTCGCTGCATTTTTCTAGCGCTTCCATCCGATCACAAAGGGCCGCTTGGCGATTTGGGCGATTTGGCCGGCTTGCTTGCCTGCCTTGCCTTGCCTGCAGGGCCAAGGTCGCGCGGAGAGCGAAGAACATGCAATTGGCGATCGCCAAGGGCGTGGAAGCGTGAAAGGGGGACACGAGGCAGACCAGGAAGGCCGTGGGGACCCGTCTCCAGGCGGCGATGGGTTTTTAGACCGCATTTTCGCCCGCAATCGCGATGCTACAGGCGTTGCGTCTGCGCTCACGCGACGGGCTGGAGAGAAAAAAAATCAAAAAGAAGGACAACGGGGGGGGCCCAGAATTCTAGGTAGCAGTACGTACCGCCCGTAGCTTCGAAGTTGGGTCCCCAGGTTAGTACGGAGTCGAAGGCTCCACCAATTTCCAGGGACATTCTTCCAACGAGGTACGAGACTCAAAGTACCGATGGACTCTGCGATACATGCAGAACTTGTGAGCTGTTCGGCACTAGAAGGATTCTAGGTTAGGAGTTTGCCTCGGTACGTACCCTGATCGGGCCGGTCGCAATTTTGCTCCGGTAGCCGCCTTGGCCGCTTGAATTCCGTCATAGCCGTGAGCCTGTAGGAGCAGCGCAGAGCAGCCTGAGTGGCGCTGGAATGGCCCTCAAACGGCGCGCCCGACGTGTAAGTGACGGGAGTCAGGCTCAAGGTGCCTCGTGTAGCTCAATGCCGGCATATCAGCGCCGGTGCGGCAAAAAAAAAAAAAAAGAAAGGAAAAAAAAAGACTCGTAGGCTCGATATGCGTGTAAATCGCGGCTGGATGGAGTCGTGCTACTGCTCTACTAGGAAAGTCCCTGTATACGCTACGAGTCGCAGAAGCGCAAGAGCTTCCACAAGCTCCGTAGCAGCTCCGGCGAAGCAACCTGAGAGCAATTGAATCGATTCCACCATGCGGCTGCGAGAACACGCTCCTCCGCCATATGAAGAGGTGTCCAGCCATGGCCCGCGAGTCCAATTGCCCATTGGCGAACTGCTGTCTCTTGCGCTCGACGGCCGCTCCATCTTCTCGGCCACCAACCCGGCGCTCGTCTACTATGAGCTGAGCGCGGCGCCGTTGCAGGCCACATCGTTGACTTACATTGTCAAAAAGGTGAAATACCGGCTGGCGGGCAATGGCAGAGGCGACGATGCCAACGGCCGGCTGCGCACCCGCCACGACGACATTTACCTCTTCCGCGATGCCTACGTCAACTTCTATGCGCCGCGGCGCATCGTGATAGACGGCAAGGCCAAGGACGGCCGCAGCTACAAGAGCGTCAAGCTCTCGCCGGGCCTCCTGGGCTGGTCGACGTGCTCGGCGGCGGGCCATTTCAGGGCCAAGGTGGGATTTGGCGATCGCTGGCGGAACCACCACCAGGTCATCTGGAAGGACGACAGCGGCCGCATCGTGGCCATGGAGGACGCATATACAGCTTACACTGCTGCTAACAGCAACAACAACAACAACAATGCTACAAGTAGTAGCAGTAGGCCGGATGGCATTAGCAGTCCAGATAGCAGCAGTAGCAACACCCCGAACGGCGACAACATCACGACTCGCACGCCTGAACACACGTTGACTGTGCCCTGCCTGAAGCTCCTGCGCCTGCTCGACGACAAAGACCTGGATCTGCTGGTGACGTGCTGGACAGCTCGGCTCTGGAAGCAGTCGCAGAAATTACACCGCAGCTCGCCTCCATCGTCCATGGGCCGGTCTAGAGGTATTCTTTTACATTTCTTTCATGTCCCACCGTGTCTTTGTTCTTCATATACTCACTTACTTACACCCTCCACCGTTCATGCACGTCATTGAGACTGTGAAAGCGCTAACATTCACCAGTCAAGCGATTTGCAGCACGACACCTCAGCCTGCGGTACATGACCAGCCTAGTTTCGTCCAACCCAACCCCGACCCGGCGCCTCGAAGCGTAGCGACCCTCCACTGTTTCACGAACTGCTCTGGACATGAATCAACGAAGCTCTCATAATGTTAATTTCTACATCTAATATTTATTCACGACTCTTTTTTTCTACTCTCTACCAATCACTTATTGTAGTGCTGTATTTACAGGCGTTGCCCAGAGGCCGGACCACATACATAATCGTACTTGAGCAGACTCGTCTTAGGCGGCGCAGATCCCTTGCCTTGAATTTCAGATAGCCGAGGGTGGACGTGGAAGGGGGCCCATTGCACACAGGCATACAGAGAGCGAAGCCAGCACAGCACAGCGAGAAGAACATGAAGCCATTATGATGGATTGATTACCTGGACGAAATTGAAGATGGCACGCAGGACAGACACACGAGAGGCTCTCGAGCTGTTAGAGCTACCTTGGCACCGCTGATTGATTTGCGCGCTTCCACTCAGCTTATTCGAATGACACTGAAAGCTGGGGTTGCTACATCATAGATACTCGTACTACCTAACTACTTACCACACTTCTTCCTACGCGCACCGCACCGCACACACACACACAGACACACACACATAATACCATCGCCACCACTAGGCCCATCCCATGCGAGTATTCGGCGTCACGATCCTCGGACGAACCGATTGATTGACTTCTCCTCGATTCAACACGAGCCCTGGGCCGATGACGGGACAACTCCAGAAAGCCACGCCTGTCATGTCCTGCTTACCAGCAATGGAGCCCATTTTCACCCCCCGTGCTCGGCACAATCACGACTTCTCCTTGCCAGTTCGATAAGCGTCGTGCAAGCGAAGCGGCACAAACTGATACAGACAGGTATTCCCCAGAAACAGCAGCCCAAAAGACCGCGGAGATTCACCAGGCGAGGCGATAAAAAACCACGGAGACCAAAGACCCCAGCACCTACTGCTGTACCTACCCAGTAGGGATCGTAGGAAAGCAGAGCTGACCAGGGGGGGTGTCTCTTCAATGTGCTCAGTCTCTTAGCAGTTAGCATCAGGGCGCTAGGCAGGGTCCAGCGCGTATCCACAATAACACTCAGATCGGCCGGTTCAATCTAGTTCCGACCGCGGCTTTTTTTGACGCGCAGGGGGTGGTGGCCAGAAGGGCAAAGCAGGCAGAATCAGGAAAAATCACAAGTAGACAAACTGGTGAAGCAAGAAGGGGTGGCTGGCTGGCCCTTGGGGGTCCCCCCTGGCGTATCCGGGGAGACATGCGCGAATTGATGGAACTCGAGCCAACGAACGGGAACGAGACAGGCATCTTTTTTCTCATTGAGGCCATTGGATTGACTGACTAGTATTACTCGTAAGTATGGAGATTTGGGATAGCGTGTGTAGCAATCATTTCTCCAGTGCGCTCTCTACAAGAGTCCCCTTACATGTAATCAATCCCGAGTAAAGCCGCGGCATAACGAACAAAAGCAGACGGAGGCTCCATTAAAAAAGCAACAGCAATAAGACGAAAGATCGGTGAATACGGAAGACGGCTTCTACAGAGCAGCACCATTGTCAATCCAGTGAACAAAATAGACTACACACGCAGCAAAAAGGAGGTGACAGCACAGCTCGCCCACTAAATGGGCCTTGGCCCCTTAACAAGCTATCAATGCCGCCTTTTCGCTCTCCCAAGCGCTGCATAGACTGCCGTACAAACTGGTCTACCCAAAGTTGTTCCCGTCACGGACAGGTTTTCCATGGACAATGGAGAAAGACACCAAAAAAGCACACAGACAAAGACACGGAACAGGATCCCCACTGGCCCGTCAGAGCCGCGCTAATAAGACCAGGTCTACCCTATCCGCATGTACATCCATGAACGCAGATACAACGGCCAGTGAGCAGGTAGAGGTCGATAAGCAGGTATCGGTAGGCATTAATTACTGATCCCAAACTACCCGCACTATTGCCTTGAGGCTAGAGCTGATATCGACCACGTCCGCCGGCATGCCGGATTTGGGGGAGTGGAGCTTTTGCGTGCCTATCCTATCCTCGGAGCACCCCAGCGCTGATTCTGTTTGGCTGCTGATTTGCTATTCTTGTAAATTACACTGAGTATTACAGGTACTCTCTGCGTACTCGAAACTACGGCCGAGGGAAACGACGATAGAACGATAGACACAAAGAGACTGAAAAGAGCGGTAATGAATAATGTAGCAGCATGGCGCCAAAACGAAAACAGAGGTGAGCGCCGCGGAGAAGGGCCGTGGAACGGTAATTGGAGCTGAAATAACGACATGCAGAGATTCAGCGCCGATGATGCTATCTTGATGACCAGTACTTGTTGTTTCTTGTAGTCGTAGCAGCAGCGGTACTTACTTGCTAGTAGGGCAGCCAGTACTTCTTCAACTCAACATACATCCACCCCCCTTTTCTCACGGGTACACCATCAGTTTCGCCTTACGTATACACTCACACTCACACTCACACTCTCCGGCTTAGATACGAGCAGATACGCAACAGCCATAACAAGGCGGGCAACGGCAGCGGCACAGGCTATTTTGGCAAGCGGTCTGTCCTGGCATTGGATTGGTCTGCTGCGCTGGTCCAATTGACTTTCCGGCAATACGTCGCAGCAATTGGCGGCTACAGCGGGCTGGGCCATTTTTCTTTGGTGGTTGACGGCAATAGAGTTTTTTTTAGGTGGGAAAAATGTTTACAAGTAGGGTCTATGATCAACATTTTGTATGGGGGAGAGGCAAAAAGGGCTCGGGAGAGTCAAGAGCCAAGACAGAAAAAAAAAAAAAAAAAAAACTTAGTGTCGGCTTTTGATTTTGTAGGCGTCTACAACTGTCACCACCAACACTTTTGCCATCATCATAGAAAAGTTCTTTCTTTTAGCGATCGACTTACTCAGTAACCAACCACTTCATCCCTAATAATACTGGCCACCGTGGCTGATACTCCTGAATAGTTCGATTGATTGAATGAAATCTTCGCATTGAATTGCACAAAGCCTTATCTTCAATGCTCTAATAGATACACGGAGTAGTGTCCCTTCCTAGCCTCGAGGCACCCACTCACCAGCGATTCTCCGTACTATAAACTACGGACATTTTCCAGCCATGGGGCCTGTCCCGCAGACCAGACCCAGACCCAGCAAGGCCAGGCCCAGAAGCAATCCAGACGGCCGGACGTGTTTGACCAATTCAGCCGGCTAGGAAGCGAAGCCGAACAATAAATATCGCACATCAAGTAAATGAATGAATGAATGAATCAATCAATCAATCAATCAATCAATCAATATACAAGGCGACTATCTATTCCAACTATCTGATAGCTTCAAACTCTAGCATCATTTCCCACCTGAAGCCTATCACCTTCCATCGGCCCATCGTAGCAATCTGCGCTGCTGCATTCGCACTAATACACTTAGTACCATATGCGCAATTCTCCATTCTCCAGAATAAATGAAATAAAAAGGGGAGCCCGTCGTTATTGCAGGGTAGACGGCATTCCCACTCCAGCTCCTAATGTAAGGGACCTGCTAGTCGTATGGAGTCCAGAGGTCCCAATCCCCATCCTGCTAGAGCCGGAATAGCTTCAAGTGCAGACGCAAGACGCAGATACAAGTACCTACTTGTAAGTAGTATTGCACATCTCAATTCCTGCGGCGACCGTTAGCAGAGTACGGGGTACATTAGCAAGAGTAGCTCGCCCATAATAAATACAAGTACTATGGAGAGTCGTCTGCCTATTACGGAGCACCCCTTTCGTACCGCCCAATGTCATGCTGGGCTGGCAACATGGCACAGAGTTCAAAGTCGCATGTGTACATGTAATCCGTGAGCACGGAGTAGTTCCGTCCCTCTATTTTTTGAAAGGATACCAGATACGAACGATATGCGCTCCAGTAGGTGCTACTGCCGGGAGCCTGACATCATCTCACGCCCATGCCATACGATGCCGCAATAGCCTCTGGCCGAGAGCTCCATTTCCAGGTTTCCAGCCACGCTTCGTCCGATCATCTCCTGGGCCCTGTCGCGTGAAGCGAGCAGCTTTACTCCGATGGTCACGAGTAGTGCCAGCAGTACCTTTAGTACACAGACAGACAAGTACCTACCTACACTGTATTACGAAGGCTGCAAAAGCTGGACTACTCTATGAAATTCATCTTTCTCCGGAACAGTAGGGAACAATGCCGCACACATTCACATAAACCGGGCCCTCTCATCAAGCGAGGCAGTCCAAAGCGGGAAAAGCAAATATCCTGTCTCTGTCACAGCAATCCTCTGCCTCTGATTTGCTGCTTAGTCTCCGTCCCCGTCTCTCAGTCAATGCCTTGGCTGGGCGTTTTGCGTGTCCACCGCACCGGACGCTACAACCTACAGGGCATTTTGCATACAAGCTAGACACGCTGCTCGGCAAAACGAGCGAAAAGTCACAGCGCAGCTATTGGACAAAGCTCCTGGAATCGTTCCGGACCGGGCAGTGATTTGCGTGGACAAGACAGAGACAAAGACAGAGACGGCGGAAACGGCTCAACTCCGGGGGCAAGCGAGTGCGAAGGACTCATCACGACAGCACTAATCGACCAATACAGGATGGAGCATTGAATGTACAGTAAGCAGACCAGGGAAATGAAGTTCTTCAAGGTGCCAAAATAAGAACAGCAGCACTACATCGAATCCGGCAGTCTGCTGTGACCACTCCAGCCCAGTTTACACCTACAGCTTTGACTGGCCCAACCACCCATTTGATTCAATTCTCTCACTGACTCTGACCCTCGCTCGCTCGCGTGTCCCCCCATAAGCCAAGAATGGCCCCCCAGCCCATACCAGCCCCCTTGCCTTCTCACCATCACCAGCATAAAGAGGAAAGCCTGTTGCTCCGTTTATAGCTGGGCTAGGCTGGACTGCCAAGGCGGCCCTGGCCCTGCTGCCCTGCTGGGCTCCTCTATAGCCGAAAAGGCGATCACATCACCCATATCTTCAGCGTCAGTGCGTTCTTTTTGCCATTTAATGGCGCTTTTTAGTGACCCGGCCTGTGCGGCTCGTAG